TCATATTGCTTTCTTGCTGTCCTTTACTCAACTCTCAGCACTTTTTCCACCACCCCCCTCCAGCTCTGCTGAATTTTTAAAAACCTAAACCAGCATTATATTCATAAGACATGCCATCATGGACCAGTGCTGTTCACACCCAGGGGCATCCATGGGACTTGACACACCAGAGAGCAGCGAAAGCAAACAGTGTAAAGAAAATCAGAAGTGAGAGAAGGAGAACTGGCTGGGAGGCACCCGGCTAAACAAGCGCTGGGGAGATGGGGAGAAAAGAACTCAGTGCCAAAAGCCTATCACATCGGTAGCAAGTGGTCATCCCGTTCTTCCGACTCCTCCCCCAGCTGGTCATCACCCACACCACGGTACGCAGCTGGTGCATTTCGGGGCTTGGATCGGCAGACAAAGTCACAGCCATCCTACAAACACAGGATATTGCACTGGATCAGACTGTATGCAATCCAAGGCAAAGCAGCTTCTGTGATTTCTCTTTTGCTAAGGGATTATGCCTATCCCCACGCTATCTGGGACAGATCCCTAAAACTTGTCTTGGCAAGAGGAGCACACGTACAAATATCCTACTCGGTCTTGAAAGCCCTGAAGTAGAATGTGGTAGTGATTAACAGCATGCAGCAACATCAGGTTGAGACAAGCATGGAGGATAAATAGTGCTGCCTATGGTGACCAAGGAAAAGTTTCAGGGAGGTGGACATGAACATTTCACAGTCTCCTGCTTAAGATTTCTACCTGGAAAGCGTTAGCCACTAATGAGCGTGTGTTCCAGTTTGTAATGTAGCTATCACAGGATAGCGGCAGGGGACCAGACTCAGCAAGGATTCAAAAATAGAGTACTCACCCCTGCCATCCCCCCAAAACCAACAAAACAAAAAAAACCCCAACCCTCCCAGGTATCCTCCTCTTCTGCCTTAAGGTACACTGCCCTGGTGGTAGGTCTGCCCAAGAGACACAATCCACAAAGACAAGGCAGATGCGATTTTCTCCTGTCCTAACACATGGGGCAGGCTGGGAATGAGTATACAGGGATTTTCACTCACCGCCACCAAGTTGCCCAGATCTTGCCAGAAGGCAAAGTGAGGAAACTGCTCCATGCCCTTTGCTCCCACTACAAGGCGCTGGTAGAGGAACCCCCCAATGATGTAGACTGCAATCACTGAAACAAACCTGGAGGGCAGAATTAAAAAAATCAGAGCTGAGGAAATCCTACAGACAACCCCTTCCGAGCCAGCTACCTGCCTCAGATTGGTATGGAGCAAGTAGCTGAACACTGCTCAAGAACACAGCTATAAACAGAGCCTAGAACAGAGAAGGTCCCCAAAATACTGATCTGCTAGTATAAATATTTCAGCAGCATTACATCAAGTAGTGCCTCTAAG